TTTTTCATAAAAAATTATTAATTAAAAATTAAATTAGATTTTAATGTGTATAAATATATTTATTGAAAAGTGTTTATTAAAAAAATGTTTTAATATCAAATGTTTTTTATATTTTAAAAATAATTACTATACAATAATTATTATATAGAATAATTATAATATAATATTATTTCATAGATATGAAAAAAGATTAAAAACAATTATACATATAACATTATGATTATGATTTTTAAAGTATATTAAAATATACGTGGATATATATAATGTGTATTAATAATTTAAAAATCTACATTTTTATAATCAATACACATATATTGATTATAAATGCATAATATATAAATTATAAATAAATAATATATCTCATAAAAAATTATTATTTTTGAAAATAGAAATATTTTGCATGCTATTTCTTCTCAGCGAATCAATTTCTGACAATAAAAGTTTATAAAATATTTCTTTCTTCATGATAACGATTAATACTTACATAGTATTAGTAATTTTTATAAGATTAAAAATAACAAAAAAATAAATTCCACAAATAAATATTTGATAATGTTTTTCATATAATATAAAATATTTCAAAATATTTTCCCATTTTTTTTATTTTCGGGCTAAAAAATTTAAGTTAATTAAGAATTCCATCACTTTTGTAGAGAATACTTTATATCAAATATTTGCGTTTTGCCATATATTATGATATGTTTGCGAGATCATTCTAAAGATATAAGAATGTGATCTATATTTTTTATAAATCTATATTTTTTAAAAATTAAAATATTTTAAAATAAAAATAATAAAAATGGCAACTTATATTTTGTTTATGTTTACACGCCAAAAACAAATAGTAGAAGTAAAATAGAAATAAAATAAAAATTCAGGAACTAATATGAAAAATAAAAATAATATATAAAAAGAAGATCAAATAGTATCAAAATGTAAAAAGATAATAGAAATATTAGTAGTAATTAAATATAAAAAGATAAAATAAAAATTAACTGTCAGCGCTATCTATTGAGTATCAAAGACATTTCTTAAAAAGCAAGATAAAATATGGTAAGAATTGAAAAGCAGTGCCATTTTAAATATTAAAAATATATAAAATATTTCAAAAGTATTCAAAAGATGGCGCTCAAGAATCAATTCTTTATCTCTTTTTATTATTTGCTTTTTTTTTGTTTTTTATAGATTAATTTCATTTATAGTATTATAAAAATGAGATTGATTATCTCTTTTTCTCTATTTTTTTTTTTTTTTTAATTGTTTTGTAATAAAAATTTTTGCATTTAAGAGACGATTTCAATATCTGATTAATTTTATTATCTTATAAAATAAAAATACAATACATTAAAATATGTAAAAATGATCTATATATCTATAGATCTATATGATCTATATAAATATATGTTATATTCGTGATATATTCTCGGAAAATTAATTTAAAGGCCAAAATAAATATAAAAATTGATATATATAAATATCGATTGACATATATTTATTAAATTATAAATTTGCGTTAAATGCAGGAAAATGGGAACAAAATGTAATGATGGTATAACAAGTGTAATGGTTTCCATCTTATTTTGTTAATAGAAATTTCAGTTGCTTACAAGCTTTAATTAATATACTTATATATCAACTTTTGTATTATATTTGTTTCGGTTTCTAAAATTATTTATTTATTATTTATTTAAAAAAAAACATATTTTTATTGATTAATATAAACGATTTTAAATTCTGTAAGTAAATATTTACATGTATATTTAGATGACCTAAAATAAAGATCTCCAGGTACGAAAGATTTAAATTAATGATAATTATTAATAGGTTATGCTTAAAAAAATAGTATTAGTATATATTAGTAGATTGTGATTAATTGATAATTATATAAATAAATAATCATGTAAATAAAGATAACTTCTTTTTAATTAATTAAGAATATAATTTTACTTTTATGATTTTTTTTTTAATAATTTTAAATTTACAACATTTGTTACGAATTAAGAATTATTTTCCAGTAGCCCGGCTAGCTCAGTCGGTAGAGCATGAGACTCTTAATCTCAGGGTCGTGGGTTCGAGCCCCACGTTGGGCGAATTCTTATTTTTACATTTTATAAAGTATAAAAATAATAATTATATGATAGTTTCATAAAATAATTAGTTTCATAGTAAATAAGTAATAAAGTAAATAATTAATAAATAGATCAATTATAAATTAAAACATCTTTCATCTTGAATTTATAAATTATTTTAAAAATTATTTTCATAGTTATTCATATTTTAACAAAAAATTTAAGCATAGTAATTTAAATTATTATATTTATATAGGAGTTTTATTATATTTACATATAGGTCATATATTTTTAGTAATAAAAAAAATAAAAAAAAAAAATAAAAGAAATAAACAGCGATAATTAAAGAAAAAAAAAATCACTTTAGCAGAGCGTGGTTTCGATCCACGGACCTCTGGGTTATGGGCCCAGCACGCTTCCACTGCGCCACTCTGCTTCGTGAGTATGGTCTTTAATATTTTATTTTATAGAGAATAATATATATTAATCGCATTTTAAAAATATAATTTTTAAATTTATTATATTTATATTATATTAATTTATTAAATTTATACATTATAAATTTATACATATTAATTTTTTTAATAATAATATTTTTTAATCTTTGAAATATACGAGATAAAAAAAAATTTATTGAAAAATATTTATATCTTAAATAGCAAAAATATTCTAATATATATTTAAGATATATTTTCTGAACATCTTATATTAAAATTTAGATATTTAAAAATTATCTTGTAATAAATTTTTCTAAATTATATGATTGATATATTTATTTATTAAAAGAAAATAAAAAGAATTATTTTCTTTTTTAATAAGAAAAATTATGCAATTATATAGCAATTATTATTAATTATATTATAAAAATAATTATTTATAAATTATATTACAATTAAAATTTATATTACATAAACATTTCATAAAATATATTTTTAAACTACGAAATTATTAAATCATAAGATTGATATATAATGCGAAAAAACATTTAATCCATATTTCAATCCATTTAATTAATTTATTATAAATTTTATAAAAAATTTAATTAATATACAAATAAAATATTTTTATAAATAAATATATTTTTATTAACTAAACATTAATTTCTCAATGTTATATAGATTTATTTATATAAGAAGATATTAATTAATGAAAATAATTTTTTTTGTTTTTCATTTAATTCATTAAACTTAATAAAATATAATCAGAATAAAATATTTAATTTGTTTTTTAAAAGAAAAAAAAATTTTTATTATATTCTTTTAATAAAATGTATATATATATATGCATGATATGATGATAGCATAATAATAAAATTTCAGTTAGCAATTTCAACACTACATTATATTACATTTTAGTACTATAAAATTTAGTATTATAAAATTTAGTATTATAAAATCCTGGCCTTAAAAAAAATTCAATTCAATGCAATATAAGATATCAATAAAAAAATAAAATGCAATATAAGATATCAATAAAAAAATAAAATTCAATATATTCAATTTTTAATCAAAGTTTTGAAAAATTCAAAGCAACAATAATTTTCAATGTATGTTTCTTAACATTACCTTTTTTGTTTTAAATTATTATATATTTATTATTTAATTATTATATATTTATTTAGATTGAACCAGTATCAAAAATAATTGAATAATAAAAAAAACAAGAAATTAATAAAGAGAATCTGAAAATTAAAATAAATAATAAAGAAAAGAATAATATAAAATATTGAACAAAACAGCTTTTTGTCTTCAAATAGAATCAGAATTTGCATTCAATAACTCAAATTGCTTTGAATGGAAATTAACCAATTCAAAATATTCCATTGACAATGCATACTCAATTTATTCCTAATAAGTTTAAATTCTGAACTTACTCTAATGTTGTTCAAAAAATTTATCAAGTATAATTAATTTCTTAATAAATTTAATTTGCTCTTAAATTTTTATTATGGGCCAATATAATTCTTTTTTACTAAGTGATTATGCTTTAATCCAATTTCACAGATAATAAGCTCATTCAAATGATTTCAAAATCAATGCCAAAATAAGAATCAACACTAATCCATGAAATAGAAATAACTTTAGAATTTGTTTCAAAAAAACCAAAACTTATGAAAAAATCATTTAACAATACTTTGAGTATATTGCCAAATACATCTAATAATAAAAAAAATAAATGATCTCTACAACACAAGCAACTTTCATTTAAGTTTCTTCAATCTTAATAATCATTTTTATAAATCTGACAAAATATACATATCAGAATATTGAATCAATGATTATAAACATAATCTTAGATCTATAAACCTGTAGATCTTATTTAATAATACTTTATACATTACTAAATATAAATAATAATAAAATTTAAAATGAATAATTTGATATAATAATTAATGTACTGTTTATAACATTTAAAATTAACATATAAAACAGAATTAATATTTATATTAATTTGAATATTCTACTTTATGATCCATCTTCTGATCTACATGATAATTAGAATATATTAAAAAATATACATAAAAATATACAGCATTCTAATGTTCATATGGAATAAAGAAACATATATTATCTGATAATATATATACATCTAAAGGCTCAACATAGAACTTTCAAGAAAATGAATTTTATATTCTTATTATTTTAAAGTTATTTCTAAAATTCATGGTTTTATATAAACAAATAAAACATCTTATGAAGTTTCTAATTAAATGTTTTTGAAAAAGTAAAAATTAAACAAAAAAAAATATTATATTAATTGACATAATATAAGAAACAATAGAGAAGAGATAAAAAAATACAATAAAAAAAATAAAAGAAACAATTAAAAATTAAATCATTCATATAAAATTCATTATATTTTTTTTATTTTTATTATCTATTAAATCTTCAATTTGTACATATTAATTAATAAAATGATAATAATATTGAAATGAAAAATTCTTCTCTTTATTTCTATAAAATCTCATCTATTTGCATTTGCACAATCATCTAATGAAGATTTTTTAGCATGAAAATTCTTGCACTTATCCTTTAAACAGATAAAGTTATCTTTTGGTATAATAATTAAATTTTTTGAAGAAGATTGTTGCAAATATTTTTGTAATAAAGATGAGCTTAATTGCATCCATGAGCATTTGCATGAAATAGATTCTTCTGTGCTTTCTTTTGTTAAACTTGGATCTTTATTTTTAATAAAAATTCAATATAAATTATTCATAATATACCATTCAAGTTGATAATATAGATTTGTAGATTCATACCAATTAATTTTAAATCTTCTTCTAAGATATCTTCATTAATATTAATCCATCTTAAAATATCTTTACGAGTTTTAGAATTTACTTGTTTTATAATATATTCGATATTTTTTGCAGGATCAGGAGGAGATACAACTTTTTTCAAAACTGATTTATCTATAGACCATTCACTACTTTCATCACCCTTACATTTACAACAAATGCAAGTATCTGGATGATCAATATCTCTGCATTTCTCATCATAATCGGAAGCTATAAAAAATTTTAATCATAATTTTCTGTACTAAAAAAGATATAATAACTATAATTACCCTGACATTTCAAACAATAACAACATCTGCAGTCTTTTATATAATTTCTGCTTAATTTTGTAGAAATAAGAGATACAGTCAACTAAAAAAAAATATTTTTCAATAAATTTGCTATCAAAAATAATTGTAATAAAATCATACATGTTGCGATTTAATTTCACTTGTAGTTGAATATGTATATTTATGACATGTTTTAATAGAATCAGGAATCTTTGAAGAAGTTAATTTCTGCATTTGTGAGGAAAGATAATAAGGAATATTGTTTCCTTTTTCATAATAATCTCCTTCATATTTTGCAAAATACCATCTATGATCTACCTTATATGGTCTAACATCTATATTTTCTTGATTCAAGACTTGAGATAACAACATTCGTTTAACTATCTGTAAATAATCATAATAGAAATTATCTTAATTATTATATATTTTTACTGTAAATACTTTTGCTGATGAATGACCAATGCAATTGCCAAATATTTTCAGATGTCTTAACATAGGATATTTCTTCAGTGTACATAAAATATTCACCATTCCATTATCAGTGATTTTATTATATGAAATATCGAGGAATAAAAGTTTCGAAAACGGAATGGAATAACTTAAACTCCTGAAAATTAATTCAATTCATTATTAAATAAATATTTATTTTTTTGAAAACTAGTTTTGATCATGTCATTAATCTTCAAACTATGATTATTTCAAAAATAATGCAGCTGATAAATATTAAGTTATTTTGATTTTATCGAATTTTTCATATTAAATTTTGATTTTATTTTTTTTTAATATTTTCTAATAATACTCTAGAAGTATATAAGTAATATAATATAAATGACATTCGTTTATGTTTATATAAATTAGAAAAGGAAGAGTTGTCAATCAGCCCTAGATAGCTTAATGGTTAGAATAATCTGATAAACGAAAAATTCGAATTCGAAATTCCAGGTAATTCGATCGGCCAACTCTTTTTCTTCTATAATAAAATAATAATTCATTTAAAAACGCATAAATATTTATTATAAATTATGTATATTGAATTATATTATAAATACAAAAATATTGCAAATTTTTATATTTATTACATTAATATGTAATAGGTATACCTTGCACCATGATCAGTTATAATATTTCTGCATAAAATTAAAGTTTTCAAAGCTGGTTTTCTTGCCAACCATTTAGAAATATGATCAATACCATAATCACCAATATTGTTACATCCTAAGTCTAATATATGTAATGAATCGTTATATTTTGTATTAAGCATCATATTTTCAATATCATGGCAACTAAAGTTGTATTTTTGTAAATGAATTGCTATTAGAGTATTATTGTACTGAACAAAAAGTCTTTAATTAATAAAAGATTTTTAAGAAATTTTTAAGAAAGAAATATAAAATTACTTTAAGCATATGACCAATCATATCTGCAAAATGAGCAGAATCAAAATAATACATGCATTTTGGATTTGGTCGGCTTATATCCAAACTTTTTAGACTTTTATTAGAAATTTCTTGATCTGAGCTTAAAACCATTATGAAATATATCAAACTAGAAGCAGTTTGATTCACATCAGCAATATTTAAATTATTTATATGTTTATTCTTCAATAAAAAAAGAGCCATGTTTCTTAAAGTCTATAAAAATTATTTAATTAAATTTTTATAAATAAATTATAAATAATTTTTATAATTAATAAATTGATTTAATAAAATATTTTAATAAATATCTTTTACTTGTTCACTGAATTTGTTTGCTTTCAAATTAAGATTTTTTAATTTTAAATCCATCCCAAATTTCAACATATAATTAATTCCTATGTCAGAGATACTATTGTTTTGAATATCCAGATCTTGAATAATTTTATACTGCTGATGTTAGAAAATTTTTCAAAATATTTTTAATATTATAATAATTCCTTTTTAAAGATACTTCATCTTACAAGAAAGTGATCGATCAAATTTATAAATCCAGGATTTGAAATATTATTATTGGCCAAGTTAAGATGAGTAATATCCTGATTTTTTTTCAAAAAAATTAATAAAGCTGGAATATCTTTGTCTTGAAGATTTCTTCTATAATTATTTATAAAAATATGAAATTTAATTTAATGGATAAGAGAAAATTTAAAAATTTATGCATTTACTGACCCAATTTTTTTATTTATAACATGACCACACATATCAAGTTTCTTTTCTGTATTGCAAATTTCTTTACAGAAACACTTGAAGAAACATTGTCCCAAAATAGTTTCATGAATATAAAATGGTTTTACATTCTGCAGCATATTTAATAAATTAACTTTTTCACAACTTATACACATACATCCAGATGAATATTGATTAAATTTCGTTATATTATTATTCATATTTATTAAATTTTATCAATTTTCTTTTTAATTCTTCAAAGAAAATTTTTTAAAAATTTTATCTAAATGATGTTATAAAAGTAGAAGTTGAAATGTTCATATTTTAACTGAAATTATTCAACATATTTTCGTTCATAAAAAGTTTTTTAATGAATTACTAATACATTTTCATTTATAAAAAAATGATGGACGATTTTTTTCTTGCAAAAAAAGATGAACCTGAAGTTATTCCATTAGAAGAAATGTTCAAAGGTAAATAAAAAATTATATTATCAACATTGATCTTATCAAGAACAATAAATAATTGTAATTAATTTTTAATTTAAAAATATTAATTTTTTATCAGCATATTGCGAAATGGATCCAGTTTCTTCTGATTTAAATGTCCAGTTGATTCCATTATCACAAAGTGACAAATGGTTAATTTCTGCTCGTATACTCGATATGATTACACTAACAACTACAGATACGGGTCTTACATTTTTTAAATTTCGAAAAAGGGCTTTATCCTTTGAAGAATATTTAACATATTTAAAAGATTTAGCAGAATCTAAAAATCTAGATTTTGAGGAAATGAAATATAAGATGCAAATATGCGGGAAACCTAGAAAAAACTAATTAATTATATGTTTGCAAATATGAATTTTATTTTTTAATAATAATTTACAATGTTGAAACTTCCACTTATCTAATTTTATTTAAATATTAAACTGAATTGATTAATTGAAAATCTTTAAAAAAATTTTTATATTTTGATTTTGATTCTCATTATTTTATTTTGTATGAAATTTTGGAATTTAAATAATAATATATTATTGTGATTTTATATGAAACCTATTTGAAAATCACCATATGTTAATAGAATTTAGGTATCGTGTAATGAACTTTCAAGCATTTTCTGTAATAAGTTCTTTAAAATGAAAAATTGTATTTTTCACATAATTTTGTTAATTTAAATATTTTTGGTAAATATATTGAATGGAATAAAATTGTTAAAGATATATATGTTTTATAATATTTTTTATAATATGTTTTCAATATTTTTATTTAATTATAAGTTATATGAATCACAAAAAAATCACAGCTAAAAATTATATAATCTGCAATTAAAAGTATCATTTTTTTGTATTTTTTAGAGTATCAAAAATAAATTAATATAAGAAAAAACAATTGAAGAATATTAATGATAATATATGATAAAATCAAATTTACAAAAATATTTCAATAATCTTCTTTTTTTCATGCTGATAAATAATAGAATATATTTTATTTTTCGATATGCAAGACATAAATACTTTCTTTATATTATTTTTTTTTTTGTTTGTTGTAAAATATATTATATGTTCTGTTGAATCCATTTTAATGCAGTTCTAATGTTACTAAGCGTAACTCTACCAAGGAAACTAGCGATTAATTGATATTCTGGCATAGTACGTCTTCCACAATATCTAGTAGAAAGTAATCTATTGTAAGATTTCTTTTTTTCAATTTTTTGAACATTTTCATCTTGCACTATTTCTGATAGTTGTATTGTGGAATTGCGTCCTTCGCAAAGTACTTTTGTAGTTAAACATAGAAGCCATTGCATAACCTGTAAAAAATATGAAAAAATAAAGTAAAATGAAAATTGATGAAATTTAAAAATAAATTTAAGAACATAAATACTTCATTAGTTGATGGTAATTTCCATTCACTTTTGAACCAAATGCTCGGTGCCCATAAGTGTAATTGTACAATAGTTGCTGCGGTTTCTGTATCAAGTCTCTAAAATTAAAATTGCGTTAAAAATTAAAAATTTTTTGAATTAAAAATATGTTTAATCATAAATACCTTATATAAGCTTCTCGACAATAAATTTTTTATCAATGCAGAAATAATTGTTGGTATATGATTAGGCAAAGGTAGGAGATCTTTCTCATTATAATTATAATTTTTAAGAGAAGTTCCTTCTTTGTCATTATGGAACGGATTTTTCATACCAAATAATTCATATGCTATAGTTCCAATTGTCCAAAGATCAGCTTTTGAGTAATTGATACTGGTAAATGGACCAGGTTCTGCTGTAATTATTTCCGGCGCCATTAAAGCTACATTACCACCTTTATCAATATCATGAGTATTGTAAGGCAGATATAAGCCATGACGTTTGTCTGCTAAACAACATCCAAAATCTGTGATTACCAAAGATGGGCAGTTGTCTGTTTCTTCTGACAAATCTAACAGAATATTATCACTCTTGAGGTCACTACATTTTCAAGAACAAAAATGATATATGAAATAAATTATATAAAACATATAATTTAATTAATTTATAATATATTGACATTCTATTTGACTTAATAATATTGATTTACCGATGTGCAATGCCATGTGTATTCAAATGAGTCACACCCTCTAATAACTGAGCCAATAATAGTATCGATTCTCTTGTACTCAATCTATGATCATTCAAGTATTGTTTCAATGTAATATCATATCTACAATAAAAAAAAATAAATAAGAATAAAAGATAATTTAAATGTCTAAAATAATTATTTATGGATTATTTTTTAAATAGGAACCTTTTCATTAGCAGAAATAAACTCATGTTTCTTCCTGAACCATGAGGATTAATGCATGCAGGTAATGCATCGGGATACATTTTCCATGAATCCGGTAAAACTGGTACCTTATCCGCAAAAACATAATACATTGCTACAATATTTGGATGTGGTGTAAGCTTAATTTTCTTCTCAGTCATTTTTATTTCCCATTCAGATAATTCTTTGTTATTTAAATGTCTTCTTGCTGGAACAGTTTCCCGATACATAGATCTTAGAATTGATAATGCATTTGATTCAGCATCATAGTTGAACATCATCTTTAATGCTAATGGAAATATAGTTAAATCTTCAGTTTTGTCATCAATTTTTATTTGATTTTGATTTTCACCATTGGGAATATCATTAAATCTTGCTGAATAAACAACTGCTGAACATCCTTTTGCAATAATTGGACCAATTATGAAATCCTTTAAAGTAATTTTTTCTTCATTTTTAATTATTTCATAATTCTTATCATTTTGTGGTGCATTCCATTGCAATTTTGATATAGCTTCCTACAAATATTTTTTTAATATATAAAATTTATATTTTTTATATTTTTTAATATATAAAATTTTTGTACGTTTTATTTTTTATAAAAGTAATATTTACCCGTATTTCCCAACATACTCCTTCCAATTCATCATCTTTTGTTAAAATACCAGTACCAGATGCCAATGATATACCAACCAAAGCAAAAAATGGAGCAGAATCTCCACCAAAGACTAATTTACTAGCAGCTCGTCTACGTAAATCTGCAGCTAAACTATTAGTTACTCGTTTTAAAATATTATCTACAAAGATTCGTCGAGCATGGGCTCCCAAATATCCAAGATGTTTTCCTGTACTTGATACATTGCTATTACCCGGGGGCAGACAGCCCTGGGACTTACCTATTTTAAGATTAAAAAAATCAAATAACAAAATAAAAATATTAATGCCTTTTTATATATATTAAATATTTCGAAAATATTGTATTTAACTATATAACATGATATAACATATGATATACATATATACATTCATTAAATAACCTCAAAATTCAAAAAATTAAAATATAAGTAATTTTAGATTCAAAACATCCAAAAATGTATGCAAAGATTATATATATATATATATATATATATAAATTTCTTAAATAAGGATATTTAGTCAATCAAAATTTTGTTTTAATGATTAGTTATATCAAGATTCTGTGAGAATCATAAATAAAATTTAATTATGTTTAAATATTTAAATACTTACCTACTTGTATAACGTGTATCTTGTCGCGATAGTTCCGTAGATGGTAATTAGAGTAGAAGCACTCAGTATTTCTAAAGGAATGCAATAGAGCCCGACCATTTTGTATAAAACGATGGACTACCGTCCGAATCGACATCTCTTTGCACTTTAGGTCGAGAAAGCCCAATGGGCTACCTCCTAAAAAAAATAAATTTTCGCCGTCAAAGGCAATTCACTATTACTAATTCGATCGTTTCTTAATGATTTTTTATTAATTACATATATTATAATTAAGAAAGTTACAGTGAAATTCTTCCTTTCTTCGTTGATCGTTTTCGTACTCTATCGGACTCTATCGGACTGTCATGGAATCGAATATATTGTTTCCATATATAAGGTGTTTCATTAAAAAAGAAATGAATTGACAAAAAATGGAAATTTAATTATTAATTTTCAATATCGATAAATATAAAATTTTTTATTTTTTTAAAAGAATTACGAAATTAGAGAAATAAAATTATAAAATATACAGTATAATTAATTAATTTTTATTATTTCGAAGATAATTATATTTTAAGAATAAAATAGTTTGCAAAATTTTTTGACTTTAATTCTATAATAAATATATGAAATATGAAATATAAAAATAAATATTAATATATTTATAGCATTCTAAATCTTTACATATATAATATGAAATTTAAATTAAAATTGATTATACTTTAATTCTATATAAGATAATAATATAGTTATATTAATAAAAAAAAGATGAATTATGATAAAACACCAATGTGATTTCATTATATAAATAATTATTTCATTATAAAATCGAAAAAAATAAGCTTTATAAAATATTATACAATTATATATATATTCTATATTATAAATATATTCAGATAAAGTAATTAAGTAAATTAATAACTATTTTATTTTTATAATTATTTTTTTTTTTATTAAAGTAATGATATTAATAGATATATATTTTTTAAAAAATTATTAATCTTATAATATTATTTGAGAAATATTATTCATAATATTATTAATTTTCAATATCGATATCGATAAGCTCGACTATATATCGATTTACTCAATCAATACTTTAATCAAATTGCAATTATAAAAAACATCCCCGCGTGTTTCGAACAAGTACATAGTACAATGTGGTGTCTAAATGTACAAATTACAAATAAACCACATTCTTTTCTAGTACAAGGATTTTAACAAATGTAATCAATACACGCTTTGTTATCTGAACATTCATTATTAGTAAAACATTCTTCATGTTCGCAACTAATAAAAATTTCTTATGTATCCTATGAGACAAGTATAAATTGGTCTTTTCTTTCCTGTGTTATCATGATCAGAAATACAAATCGTATTTGCTCCACAAAGATTAGATTCATATAAATCTCCCAAAAATATTAATAAACATTTAACCTTGAACTAGAAATCATTTAAATTTATTATAATTAAAATCACTTATTTGCTTTAAATAACCTGCATTTAATGAAAGAATTATCAATCATGTGTTTTGGATACCTACAAACTGGAGTTATGTCTCAGATTGCAAAAAGTTATATTTGGACAAATATATTTGGTCAATTTGGATGATTAAAAACCTGATATTCTGTTTTTACCACATTTACATAGATTTTAAAAGAAAATGAATAAAAAAGATGATTAGTGCATTCTCTATCATTTTTACATTCATAATGATAACCAATCAAAGGAAATCCTCTATAATCTAGAAAACAATTACAAAGTGGAATTTCATTCATTATCTCACATTTAGTATTAGATCCACAAGAACTTGATTTACAAATAGTCTCTAGAAGAATTTTATTAATAACTTTATTAACTTTATTAATATCAGTCGTTTTTATTGTAAAAAATTTTGTATTATATACATGCAAATGATAAAAAAAACATTACTCAAAATTTGAAAATCATATAGAAAAAATATATACTATATATAATATATATTATATATAACTTTTTCACCTTTTTTATAGTATCATATCATATCATACAATTTTTCTATAATTATTAATTTTTTTCATGCATTAAAATTTTGAATTTCATTATTACTATATATCTTTATAATAGTTTTTTAGTATTATAATATAGAAAAGATGTACAAGAATATTATTTACCAGAATTAGTTATATAGCAAAAGATGAAAGGATCCCCTATGTATGCAGGAGGACAATAACAAGTTGGAATATGATTTTTAGTTACACATAATGCATTTACACTACATAAACTATTGCAAGGATTTATACATTGTTGGAGAATACATTGTTTTTAATATAATCTTCATTGATTAAAAATTAAATTAAATACCTATAATTAAATACTTAAATACATAAAATACATAAAATACTTTTGAAACATTTAAAATGTTCAAATTTTTTTTATAAACATTGACTTAAACATTCTACTCTGATACAATGTAAAAGAAGATCTCTATATACAAATTCAGTCAAGAACATACTGATCTGTCTTCACTGAGAATGCATCTTGTATTAATTCCATAAGTAAAACTTTTGCAACCTAAAAATTATGATAAAAATATAATTTAATAAAATACATCATGCATCATTTCAAATAACTTACCAATATTTTCAACTGATAGTATTCTTGATTAGAAATATTCATTGTTAACAATAGCAAATAGTAAAAGCAGAAATAGAATTATGTTCCATAGATGTTTCACCTTTTTATGAAATCCTGAATAAAATATTTTTTTAAATTTTAATGAATTTTTTAATATTAATTAAATTATTATTTATCAAAAACAATTTACTTTAAATAAAGAAGTTATGTTTTGAAACTGTATGGATTAATAGATTTCCAATCAATAGTACAGATGAATGTGATATTGAATATGAGGAAAACCTTGCTATTCGATTTTTTGCCTATACGATTTTCGATTCAATTTTGATGTTCAAATTTTGAATTTTGCTACTAATTGTGACACTGATGATTTTTATAGGTCTCGCCTATTGCTCACTACATTGGATTACTTCCTATATTATTTATTTCAAAAAATCATGTATCATTAAGCAAATAAAAAATAATAAAAGCAAAATAATCAAGAATAATTTGATTTCATAATTAATAAGATGGAAGAAAAACAGTCAGCAATGACTTAATTTTGTCTTAATAAAAATGATGTTCTTCCTTTTTATTTTTATTAGTACATGATATGTTTCAAAGTTACAAAAGTTTCTATTCAAATATTAATATATCGATTGTATAAAATAATAAATAATTTTTTAATAAAAATGATGATTTAATTTTATGATTTAATAAAAAAAAATCTATTTTTTTATGGATTGATTTTCACTGATCAAAATGTGAAAATAATGACACAATAAATATATTTGAAAAAAGTACGTATTATATATTAAATACAGAGAGCATGAATAATCAAATTGCAATTTTAATATTTGATGAACAATCATTCTTTTATCTCGCCAAAAATGGATCCATCAGACGCAATTTTCACATGCATGTTATAATCATTAACAAAATAATCATCATATATGTAACTGTCTTTAAAAATTAGATAAAAAATCGGATTTTAAAAATTCATTATATTAAATATTAATTTAAATTTTAAAAAAATTACATAAGAAAAAAGATTATAACCTACCAAATTATACCTGCAAGAAAATTAATTAGATACCAAAATTTTGAATTTTAAGTAGTATTTATAGTAGATTGCGAAAAATGATAGAGACAATAATTAATATTTTACCTTATTCATTCGCTTGATTTATTACAATAATTTAAATAACTTAATAATAAATTTTTGTATCATAGACAAATAGATTATATTGTTTTCATTTAGGAACAAATTCTTGCAACATTCATTGCTAAATTTAAGAAAGAGTGTACAAAATAATAAATGTGGTATAAAAGTAAAGATATCTATCTGAAATTGCAATGGAAAAAAATATTTTTTAATGATCTGATTTTTTTTTAAATTTATAAATTATCACTCGAAAGCTATTCATTGGATATTTATTGTGCAAATGCACAAACTGTTCTATTATACCATTAGATTTAGTTTGCATTTTCGTTTTACATTATAAAAATTTGTAAACGAAATTTAGGAAACCACTCTCATAGTTTCCAACTATGAGACCAACGTAATTACATGATAATGATTTATAATAGACAGCCATTGTTGTGTCTTTGATTATTTCTGTGATTGGTTTTTAATTTGCTTGGGAATATGTTTTAAAAATTCTTCATAAGCTGCATCTATGTCATCGTCCTCTGACATCCATGTTTCATCACCTTCATATCCATGTTCAGATATACTACAGAAAAAAATATATATATATATTGTGTATGTATATATCTTATTTAATAATGAATTATATGCATGTACATATGATCCTCGATATTCGTTGTACTATCAGGAACTTCTTCTAAAAATTTATTTTCTTCTGGCGTTAATACTTTGCCATCAGGACCATATAAAACAGGTTCATCAATTGCTTGATTAGGATCTAATGGTTCTATCGATTCCACTGTTGAAGAATTAAGAGAATTCTGTCCCCAGTTTCCATTTCTTAATTCATGAACACTATGTACCATATGTCCTACATGTGAATCCACTCTACCTTCCGTTACAAGCTCTGTCAAAGCTCGCATCATGTTTTCCATTTCTTTACGACGATTTTCATTTTTATTTTTTTCTAAAGTTTGTCCTGCCAACTACATATTATATCAGAAAAATTAATATCAAGAGAGCTTTTATATAAAACAATATCAATCAAGAAATTTCTTAATCTAATATTTTTGAACATTGTAGAGAACTTTTAAATATTATTTACCTTAAGAGCCTGGCAAATATTTTTGACAGAATTTGGTGCAGGTTTTTTTAATATAATAATAATAAATTGAATTAATAAGTCCCCTAAAGTAAACGCAGAAGTGTCATCCATTTGAGTAACCAATTCAGCTAAGAGTAATATCAATCCATTACATCTCTTTTGTTCTTCTTCACTGTGATCTTCTTTTTGCTGCCAATTGGAAGCTTGACTGTCTGTTTCATTTTTACACCTGTTGCCAGCTTGTGTTTATTAAATTGAAAGCTTAAATACTTGAAATAAACATTACACCTATATTCAATAACTTACAAAGTACACAAAGTCCATCTAAAAGATGTCTGTTCTATAGAAGTCAAACTGTTATCCAAAAAGGCACAAAGTCGAGCACCACTATATCGGAAATTGCCTTCATTTATAGACTAGAAATAATTTGATGTATAAATATATAATTTTTTATTTCTATTATATGAAAAAGAAATATGAATACCTGTTGAATTATTATTTTCATAATTTCTTTAAACTGACTAGGAAATCCTAAATAAGGTCTAAGATTATTTATAAGAGGTGGCACAATTGAAGTAAAATGTCCTGGATTTAATATCAATGAATGTATAACACTCATTAAATTCTGTGTTATATTTGCAAATTCAATTAAATAATTATCATCTTCTATATTCGAGTCCTATATAAATGTATAATAAATATATCAACAATTAACATAACATTTTTATTTTTTATTTTTATAACATTTTTTCCAAACTATAAACCTGATGTTTGTTTCTATAATCTCCTGAACCACCATCAAAATGACCAAAATCTTGAATATTTGAAGATTGTTCTTGTTGATGTGAAAGATTATCGAATTGTTGAACTTGTTCTGTTTGTTGATAATGCTGGGATGTACCATAATTACATGCAAAATTTTGTTGCATCATTTGCACTTGAAGAGGTATTTCTCGTGCAATTTGCAATCTATCTTGAACTGAATGTTTTTGTAAATATCTTGTAGATGGCTGCTGTTGATGATGCTATATATATATATATATATATATATATATATATATATCATAAAATAAATGAAAAAAATTTCAATATACAAATGAAAAAAATTTAATATGAAAATACTCACTAACTGTTTAATAGGATATGATTTTGGAATAAATTCAGCTGCATGTACAGACAATGTAGAATTCTGAATAATATCATCAAAAGATTTATCCAACTTGTTCTGTTCTACATTTTTTGATTCCATTGATCCTATAAACAAGAAAAATATATTTAAAAATAATAACGTTAAAATTCAATGTAAATATAGTTATTACTTTCAGACAAAATTTTTTTTTTTATAAATTATAGCAACCTGTTTGCATTCCAGATGTAGCATGATGGGGTCTCCTTAATATTGGAATTTCCTGTGAACTTGAGGTCCACGGTCCACGACCACGACCACGTCCGATCCCACGTCGTTCTATGTCCCCATCTCCACTTCCATCACCTCCGAGAGGATTCATTTTTTCCGCGGCAAAAATTTGATCGGCTGTATGATCACTGGGGGTTAAGTAAAACGACGATGATACCGGTGTGGAAGTGTCACCCGCGACAAACTTCTAGATGCGCACTTCGTGATTGTGCGTATTTCACCAACATAAGTTCAGTAATTCCGCTAAGTCCGTTAGATCCGTTATCCACGACAAAACGCGTACCGCCTCATAAACAGGATACCAAAAGACATCTAACAATCCGTTCACAGCAATTTTTTACTCTAATCGACTACGATCGATAGTAAACTCGAGAAGTTGGTTGATAACTCATCATCCGTTTTCAGATTACAATTATTAACTTAAAAGAAATAATTAATATGAATAACCTCGAAATAACAACTTTTAAATAAAAAATCAAATTTGATAGAAAAATATTACTTCGTAGTTTTTTTTATTCAATTTCTTATTTCGCATCATTTTTAATTTTTTAATAAAATAGTATTTTTTTTATAATTCAGATTCTATATATATATATATATATATACATACACACACACATATATATATATACACAATCACATAATAATGCTGAATAATTTTTAAAAAAATTCACTCTAAATAATAATTTTCGCATATTGAAGTTTGTATTTTATTATTAATAATATAATGATAATAAATGATCAACATTTTTATAAGGAAATATTTATATAAAATAATAAATTGAGATCAATCAAATATGAAAATTTCATATAAAATTTTGATTGAAAGATAAAATCTAAAAAATATTGTATAATCATTGGATTCAAAAATCATTATTTAATATAAGTTGAACTTTTTAAATGTCTTACATTTTTTATATATCTTTCTCGTTATGTTATCGATGCAAAGTGATTCATTCACGAGGAAGAATTTCGTAGAAAGTGCAACTCAGCATCAATAACAGTAAAAGAAAATTATAAAAATAAAATTATCAAACAAAAAAAAATGTTTTTTCTTGATGTATATTCATATTATGTTACTAATTGTTGAGTTTTTATAATTTATATTTTTATAACGAATAAGTTACATAAATGACTATTTACTATGAACATAATCTTAAATTCGACAATTTATGTAAAAGTAAAATTGATTCTGATTATTAAACAAAACTAAAATTTTCATTAATAAAAAAGATTTGTTCTCCTCTCTACTTTTCCATTAGTCTTGGCGGTTACTCGAAAGAGGCGCCTTTGATCAATCTTTGAGTTATGAGGTTACGATCATTGACACGGACGCAGAATTCTATTAGAATGAACCTTCGTTGTAGTACTTGTTAATGATGTTGTCAAAAACTATAGATTGTTTGCGAATTATTTCGTGTACTTTAAGTTTATTATATTTCTTTAAAATTTCAAATCCACTGAAATACATGAAAAACCGCACGTGTGTATATGATTTATAAAATATATCTTATTAGATTTGACCATTTCAGGTATGTATTTATGTACGTATGCTTGCTCAAATATACATGCTTTTCGAATTCTTTCTTTTTTTTTTGAATTAAAATTTAATGAAAATTTATTGAATATATTGAAATTTTAAATAATAAATCTTTTTAATATATATACTATAAATTAATAATTCTTTTATAAAATAAGTTATAATATATCCATTCTTAATTTGTTTTATAAAGGGTCATATATACGATCACATATATTTGGAAATGTTAGAAGTTGGTTTAAGAGTGGTTCGTGGACAGGATTGGAAGTGGGATGACCAAGATGGTGGAGAGGGTCATGCAGGAACAATTGTGGAAATTGGCAAACCTCCTTCTTTTGGCAATTCAGCTTCTAGTCCCAATCCATCTGATAGAACACCAGATAAAACTGTTATTGTTCAATGGGATCATGGATCCAGGAGCAATTATAGAATTGGATATCAAGGAGCTTATGATCTTTTAGTATTTGATAATGCAGCCATAGGTATCAAACATGCAAATATCATATGTGATGGATGTAAAAGACATGGAATAATTGGTATTAGATGGAAATGCATACAATGTTGTGATTATGATTTATGTACTCAATGTTATATGGCTGATGTACATGATCTGAACCATTGTTTTGAGAGATTTCAAACAGCTAATTCTGTGGGGTTGGTTTTTAAAAAATTATAATATGTTTATTTGATAATTAAACATATAATTCAGTTTATGAACTTTATTGCTAATTATATAGGATTCAATTGACTCCAAGAGAAGGCTGTTCTAAGATATCTTTAAAGGGAATATTTATAGGAGCTAAAGTTATTCGTGGTCCTGATTGGGAATGGGGAAATCAAGATGGAGGAAGAGGTGCTGAATATTTCAATTTTTTTATTTAGAATACTGTAAAAAAAAAAATTTTAAAATGCAAATATTTTAGGAAAGACTGGTAGAGTTATAGATATACGTGGATGGGACAATGAAAGTAGCCGTTCAGTGGCAACTGTATCGTGGTCTAAAGGCAGTACAAATGTTTACCGTCTCGGATACAAAGGTTGTGTTGATTTATGTTATGTAGAAGAAGCTACAGCTGGTACATATTATAAAGAGCATCTTCCACTTCTTGGACAACAAATAATAGCAGTATCCGATAACGGAACCAATATAACTTCAATTAAGAGTGGTTTTCCTTTATCTGTATCTAGTCCACGTCACTCAACGTTTAATGTTGGAGATAAAATAAAAGTATTGGTTGATGTAGAGACATTAAAAGAAATGCAAGAAGGTCATGGCGGTTGGAATCCACGTATGGCTGAATATATAGGTAAAATCGGTAGAGTTCATCGTATTACGGACAAGGGTGATGTCCGTATACAATTTGAAGGATGTAACAATAGATGGACTTTTCATCCGGGTACACTGACAAAAATTATTAGCAAAGATACTTTTTCTTTAGGAGATATAGTTAAAGTAAAAACCGATTTATGTGCAGTTAAACTTTATCAACAAGGTCATGGAGAATGGATAGATGTGATGAAAAATGTAAGTTTATTAATTTTCTAATTACTTGATTTTATCATAAGAAAATTTGTAGGCTCTAGGAAAAACTGGAAAAATAATCAAAATATATTCTGATGGAGACTTAAGAGTTGCTTTAGATGGTCACACATGGACATTCAATCCTTTAAGTGTTTCTCCTGTTCCTCCTGGAGTAGAAACTGTTACTATACAGGATGAATCAAATAGAAATCGAGATTGGACAGGTATATTCATATTCTATCAATTGTAAGTTATCTTAATATAAAAACTACAATTTATTTTTATTTATATAGCTGAAGGTGTTGATACAGAAGTTGAAAAACTATTAAGAGATGCAGCTAGAGGAGAGGCAGGAGTATCTGCAGTTCAAGAATTTCTCAAAAAATATCCTGGTAGAGTGGATGCAAGAGCTGGTGGACCAGGAGGGGGAAAAAAAACTTGTCTACAAGTAGCAGCTCATCAAGGACAAAAAGATCTCTGTATTCTTCTTCTGGATGCTGGAGCATCTTTACGAGCTATTGATGAGGATGGAGACACACCTCTTCACTATGCTGCTTTTGGGTTTGTTACAAAATTTATTAAATTTTAAATAATTATTAAATTTTAAATATTTAGCTTTTGAAATTACAAGAATTTTTTTATTTCATAGAAATCAACCGGAAATAATGGAATTGCTTCTTTCACGTGGTGCAGCAATCAATGCTGTGAACAATGGCAAATGTAGTGCATTGCATGTGGCCGTGAATAAACAACATGCTCAGTGCGTAAAAGTTTTATTACATCATCATTGCGATGTTAATCTCCAAGATTCCTATGGAGACACAGCGTTACACGATGCTATTGGAAAAGATGCTTTGGATATCATAGATGCTCTTTGTTCATGTGAAAGAGTGGATTTCACATTAAGAAATAAACGAGGCTTTAATGTGCTACATCATGCTGCTTTGAAGGGTAATGCTTAGTAAGTATACTTATGTTTCATGTTGTTATTTTAGAGATTTAATTAAAGATATATATATATATATTTGATATATATATATATATATATATATATATATTTTGGTACAGTGCAACAGAGAAATTAATGGCACGAGCAAGATATTTAGTGGATGTTAAAAAAGAAGATGGCTTTGCAGCATTACATCTTGCAGCTTTGAATGGCCATAAAGATGTAGCCGCCATACTTCTTTCTTCGAATGGTGGAAACGCAAAAGTAGATTTACGAAACAATCGGCGTCAAACTCCTTTACATCTAGCCACTTCTCAAGGACACTGGGCTTTAGTAGAGTTTCTAGTTCATCATAATGCTGATATTGCTAGCATAGATGCAGATGGAGATACAGTGATACATATTGCAATAGTGAAGAGTCCTAATCAAAGCAATGTAGTTCCTACGCCTGAAAGTTGTCAAGAGTCGCCTCTTATTTATGCAGTATATTACATTTTTTTATATATTTTAATTTTATTTTTATTGATTATATTATTTAAATAAAGTTTATTATAGATATGGCAAAATTTAGCAAGACAAGGCGTGAAAACAGAACTTGCATTAGTTTGTTTCCTAGTGAATATGGATAGAAGTTGTACTTTATTGGAACATGCAAGAAATTCAAAAAATAAGACACCATTAGATCTTCTTGAAACTGATTCTCAACTCGCTCCATATATTAATTTGATACGGTGTTATCAATACCAAAGTCATAATAACCAATTAGAGTAAATAATTTAATAGTTAATTATAAAATTACATAGAATTAAAATTTATATATATATGTTATGTGTGTGTATTACAGAATAGAAAATTCATCTACTTCAGAATCTTCCATATATCAAATAGATACAGTGTTGCAATCGGAAGTCGTACATGGAACGAGAAAATGTATTTCAGGTTCCGGTGATGCTTCTGAGTGTCACAATTGCTTAGGTATAATAACAAACGCAATGAAAGAAAGAGAAGGAAATAGATTTAATCCTGGTAGCAGTCTTGCTATTATTAACTGTACCCACTGTGGTCATGGAATTGCCAAAACGAAAGGTATTAATTGATAATAAATATTGATAATATTATTAATATCAATATATCTATATATTATTATAAAGATAGATTATTAATTTATCATTTTGATTTGATTGATAGATGGCCAAATAGCAACTGGCGAAATTTCTTTGACAAAACAAAAAGAAAAAATAAAAGATAATGTTTTGGATGAGAAAAAAAAGGAAGAAGATCAAGATAAGGAAAGAGAGAAAGATAAAGATTTAGAACGATTGCGTTATTTAGAAACACGAATAGCTGATTTAGAGGAAGCAAATATGTGTAGTATCTGTATGGAACGTCGTCGAAATGTCGCTTTTCTTTGTGGTCACGGAGCTTGCGAACATTGTGCAGCTCCTTTAAAAACATGTCACATGTGTCGCAAAGTTATCACAAAAAAGATTAATTTATATTAGA